AGCAGGAAAGGGATACAAAAGTTATACCCCTCTACAGCTGCTTAGCCTTTCTATCTCTGGATGTCAAGTGCTTAATTTAGTGTCCACTGAAAGCTGTTTTATCAGTGTACCAGCAGAGCCATTTAGCAGGACCACCTCTCTCAGGGTTTGTAACAGTGTTGACTCTGTATCCAGTTAATGCAGTATGTTGATGTAACTATTGCCAAAGTCACCTGTCTTTCTGGAACTGGACTAATTTTCACTTGAAAAATCACAGAAAAAAAATTATAAATCACAGTATATATCAAAGTTTTACAAAAATAATAGATACAGTGATTTAACAGTATCACTCCAGGTGATGAGACAGAACATTGTAATTTCTCTTCTGTGAAACATGTCTTGTCCTCTTCATTAACAGTGACTGTCTGGGAGCATCTGTCAGCAGAAGCACTCCATCATTCAAACACACACACTTTTAGGAACTTGGTATGCAGAGCAAACATGATACTTTCAGGAAACTTGAGCAACATGACTTAAATTTTTTCAAGACAGAAAAAAAACAATAAGGCCAGTGTCAATTTATCTAAATTACAATCAATAATAATAAAAAAAAACATGATCTCAGTTAAGTGGTACAGTATCTTGTCTTGTGTTTACTTTGAGATTCTACCTTCATCAGAAAACAGCAGCAACTCCTTCTAGAAACTGTTCATTGAAACAACCCTACAAATGTCTGTAGGAACTATCATCATAGCCAGTGGAGCGAACCATGTTCAGGCAAAAAAATACTTGTGGTTTGGAGGACTTAGTAAAAAAAATAAATAAATTGATCAAACATTAATCAGTACCAGAGTGAATCACAGGTCTAAGCAACAAAAATATAAAAATTGAAAATAAGGTCAAAACATTTCCCAGAGCCCAGGCTGGTCCCTGTGGTTGTGGTTGAAACAGACCCACCAGTCTAGTCTCACTTTATGACCTCCTGCCAGCCAAGTTATCTCCAGGGTCATCTCGGGAACAAGAGCAATAAAAAGGGAAACCAAACATCGAGGCTCAAAAACACTGAAAGCACCGACAGAGTCTTATCTGTCACAGCTGATGTTAAAACGAAGTGGCAGTGACAAACAGATGAGACATTTGAATTGATTGAGTTAATATACTGGGTTCAGTAAGGATGTGGTTTGATCTTCTGTCCAACATGATCTTGTCTCTTACTCTTTCCTTACAGTTTATGGATGACATACTTCAAACTTACTGCCAGCAGGCCCGTCAAATAAACACACATTACTGCTGCCTCCACATAAAGCAGAGTCTGCACATACTGTATTCCAGACAAGCAACTGAGATTATTATGCGGTACAAAGTGTGCTTTTCTAACCTGCAACAGCTTGCTTCTTACACATCATCTCTTAAAAATGCAGCCTGTCATTAGGCAAACAAATAAAGTCAAACACCTGACTACAGGAGAAAGTTAAACACAGGCAGACCGAGAGGCAGCACCTGCAAAAGAGATTCAGTT